TGTGGTACAGAGATTTGTTATATCTTTTCTAGATCGCATACGTACTTCAGCTGTTAAAACACACTAGAATTTTCATGTATTTTTTACTGGTATTTGTGGATAAAACACGGAATTACTGCAGGCTTTTCTATGAGAAAGAGACAGAAATACTGATAATTAAATTGTAGATTGTGCATTTCTAATACTTACGTTATCTTGTTTAAAATTAGGTTTAATTGGTGTTATGGTCCATATATAAATTCTAATACTACTTCATATGAACTCCATTAACACAGAAAATTACGTTTCCCCAAATACCCCAGCATAACATTTAAGCCACAGTCAAAATAAAGCTTTTGTTGTGTTTGGCTTTAAGGAGTGCACAGGGTGGGCAGAAGATAGCAGCAGAGCAGCTATGAAACAGAATGGAGAAAGATAAACAGCACACATTAAATAAGAGCTTTTCATTTGCTGTCTTTCACTTTTATAATGAAACTCATGATCATCACATGATCTTGTTATATTTGTTGTGTGAGAACGGTGGTTAACTCTGGGCCTGGGTACCTTCCAATTAGAGTAATTATACTTTGTGTACTTAAAATTCCCCCGAAGGCTAAAAAGGATAGATTGTTCTTCCCTTCCCTCCCTAAAACAGTTATGTAATGTTGTTGACTATGATGACTACCAAAATCCATGCTAAAAAAAAATGCTGCAGAAAAAGAATCAAGCAGTGCGTGTTACCTTTATAGACTCTGAAAAACACTTTACGTCACATTAAATAACTCTGTAACTCCTCTGTATTAATGTACATGGATTTTCACACCATGCTGAGCAGCTTGCTCCTCACAGAGACTGTCAGTCCCTGGCGAGTTGCTGCAGCAGAGATGTCTCTGCATGAGTCCTGGCCCTGAGCGCATGGAAACAGCAGCGTTCACCTCCGGGTGACACAGGGAGCAATCCGCTCTGTGCTCTCAAAGAGACCCAGGTACCAACAACTCATCAGAACTTGCTGGAATGGAAGCGATACACATAAGAACCGGAAGCAAAGCACATCAGAAAAATAAAAGTAGTCATCTTCCACTAAATCTCTGTTCACATTCCCAGGATTTTGTAAGCAACACCAGACTAGCTCTGTTTGTCAGCAATTTAACAATACATTAGTAGTTTTCACCATTAACTGCTGAGATGAAGAAGATGAATCCACATCTGCTTGTTTTCTCTCTCTCTCCAGTGACTATCCGGGGCAGTCACAATTAGATGTCAGTTCACATTTACATGTTTTCTTATCAAGCACCAGGGCCAAAGCTTCACAACGAACTTCAATTTTGAATGCTGCAGGAAAAGACCAGGAAGCTAGGGAAGCCCCAGTCTGGGATTATGGAGATATATAAAGAATGTGGCCTCTTACAGGTCATGAGCAAAATCTTAACCATCTAGAAAAAAAGCTCTCCTGAATTAGAACAGAAACCAAAAAATGTGAGTTAAATGCTGAGTTGGCCTGGTCCTTTATAAAAGGCTTACTGAAATCTGGATAAGCTGAACCTTTCAGATCAACATAACAGGGGGATCAGTGAGTAGAGGATTTTAGTTACCAAGCCTAGAAGTTCAGAAAATAAAAGTACAAAAATTAACCTGCAATGCAAAGAAAGAAAAAAAAAACACTGTATTTTTTTTCCTGCTGGATAGTAAATCTTTTGCCACTTTCCTGAGAAATCTCTTTGCCTTCTCTATTTGCTGCTACACCCATGTCACAGTCACTGACCTCCTTCCTGTGGAGAAATGAATGCGACTCCTTTGGTGTGTGTTAAGTGTTAATGCTATCGAGCTATCTGCTCTATCGATGACAGCGGGGAAAGGCACGTCAAAAACCAGCGGGGTGCTCCGAGGCATCACGGGGCACATTTGGTAACGTTTGTATTTAGAGCCTTGGGAAAGCATAACACTGAGCAAGGCAATGAGAAGGCCTTCTCAGCTAAAATCGGACTCGAGGGTCACATTTACACTGCTTTATCTTGCTCGGTATGCCCTGCCGCTGCTGATCGTTAATTGCGTACAGTGTTTCCCGGGGTAGAGGCCCCAGTTTAAATGGCCGCCTGGGCCCAGGAGCTCTTCTCAGTTAAAAATCCTTACGGCCAAACTAACAGGACAAGCACCAGGAAAAAAAAGAAAAAAAAAAAAA